AAGTATCTCAACTACAGCTGATTCTCAAATAAATCTCTTATTCGCAGCCCTTACCTGATATCTACCTGGATAAAAAAACAACGTCTTAACGCGTATATCTAATCAGATTCCCATTAGCAGCCTCGAATATCGTATACGAGCTAGCTCCTCGTGCAGTAATTCCAATTCGAATAGAGGTGAGATTCACTCCGGAGAGAGCCCATAAATTAGTTCCTCATGAGAATCGGCCAAAACCGGCTGAGCCAAAAGATGATCGATCACCAGGTGAGCCAAAGAGAGCGGCCAGGTGAGAGAGAAATGAGAGAGAGAGGCGGCATACCTGTGCGCTGAGCCAGCCAGCAGATGGGTTTTCTCCCTTACATTTTGCATCTTTGGCATTTCAAAATGGGTTCACAGTGACACCCACTCACACACACACACACACACATACTCAGCACACCTGATTCTGACATATTTCGTATCTATGAGATACATTTCATTCGACTGACAGACACTGAGCTGTCATGACGTTTTCGGGTTCTGCGATCAGCTGATCATGATGGCCGCCAAAAGCAGGTTTTTTTCTACCACGAGCATTATTAATCATAACCCCAAAAGAGTGAGACACAAAGAGTGGTGAGAAAGAGAGAGGTGGATGAGGATGACTATTTGGGCAACAAACGTTTTCCAAACACGACTAATTTATGGTCTGAAGCCAAGCCGACGGCAAGCAGTCCGCGACATGCACAAAAGTCATTTATTCCGCGGTTGCCTTACTTTTGTGGACTTTGAATCTGCTTTTTGACCTAGAAAATCAGTAGCTGCGATTCGTATCTCTCAGATACACACGCACTTCCGCTGCCGTTGCCGCTGAACCCATAAATTATCTGCACTACTTTTTCACAATAGAGGGGAGCGCACGGGGCACAACCCGATTTTCGACTCCAGAATCCCTTCTTATTCAAACGACTCGCTGAAAGTTCTGCAACCTTTAGCCTTCATTCATTTGTCCGCTGACCAACGCCTCGATCGGATCTTGTGGATCTGCCTGGCCAAGATATTGAATCGCCACCAAGATCATGGCCAGTTTACCGCCGGCATTTCGCGATCTTCGATTTTCGCTTTTTTTCGTCTTGCCTCCTCGTGTGTTTTTGTTTTTTTTTGTTTTTTTGGCCGATCTGGAGCAAATTGCTTTTTGGCGGTTAATAAATTTTCAAATTAATTGACTAATTGCATACCTACAGCAACGCGGGATCGCAAAACGAAGGAGGGGCCAAAAGATACGGATGTAAATTCCACGGAGATACAGTGCCGATAAGACAGGGTTCCGGGACCCAGTGTTTGGACTTGGTAACTCATCGCAGTGGCTAATGGCGGTCGATTAAGCAAATACTGTTCAGCTCACAACTCCCCAAAGAGGTGGCTCCATCTATCCACCTATCTATCCGCCAGACGCAACCATTCATTAGCCGCAGAGTTGAGCAAACAGACGGATATTCACTTGGAGATACATTCGTTTTAATGGCCAAGTGAAATGCTACATTACGCCATTTGTTATGACCTGCAATCACAGGAGGAGCCACTAAATGGCGTTTAAAGAGTGCTTTTAAGCTTTTAGGACTTGCTTGGTTACTACAAACTTTTAAAAGCCAATACTTATGAGTTGTGTTAGCTTAGGTCCTTATAATTAGGACAACTCTATCTCAGCCTCATGTCCCTTTTACGCCCCCAAAGTGTTCATTACGGCAATGAAGCCGAAATTACTAATTCATTAATTGAAACCTGCCCCAGAACGTCCAGCCAGCATCGAGTTGTGGCCAGACCAAATGTCCATTACCTAGCAGGGCGACACATGCCAGGATGCCAGGATGTCCTTGCAACCCCAGCCAGGATGTCCTCCCCCTTTGCAGATGCTGCAAATGCCAACGGTAAAAACGAAAGTGTCCTGCTGCCGTTTTATGAACTGTTTCTGGTCGTACTGCCACTTACACTTGCCACACACACAAAGTGCTCCCCAGTTAATAATTTCGAAGTGTGTAAAATCAAATTGCCGGCACGTTGCGGATGTGAGAGGCATGCGAGTATCTCTCAGATACTCTAGCCTAATTTACTCGTGATTTGAAGCTCATCAGATTAATGGTAGAATTCGTCCAAGGGATTCTATAATTTATGCATGACTGTGGTGCGACACTTTTCTCCATTTCTCTTTCTCCACTCTTTCCATCAACCTAGTCAGCATATGTGAAATTTTTGCATTTTTTTTGTGAAGCTTTTTACGGACATTTTGTCCGTATTGCAGGTGCTGTCGTTTGTTTGTCTGGACTTTCCCCATACCTGGTATCTGTATCTGTTGTTGTGTTATGTCTATGAATATGAATTATGGAAATTGCAGAGAAACAACGACAAGGACAACGACCAGCGAACAACGAATAAGTGCCAGGATATTCACGATACTCACACAGGCTCAATCGTATCTGGCACATTTTTTCTGCCGCCTTTTGTTTGCCGAATTTAAAACCCCATTGGGGACCCTTTTTTGGTGGCCATTGAAACAGTGACCGACTTTTGCTAGTCTCTGGTTTAAAAGGATTTAATAATCCTTTGGCTATATCGTGTGAATTTCTTCAATTCCACCTTACAAGTCCCATTAAAATCGCATAAATTCAATTAAGCGCGAACACCGGCTGCAAAATTATGCAAGCAATCATAAAAAGCGAAATAAGGAGCCGCTCGCCCCCGACTGGCCACGCCCCCCTGCGTCGGACATCCGCCGCTGACATTTACATTTAATGCTTGCAAATTTAACAAATAATATTCAATTAACAATTTGAATATGAATTTATTACAGGGGAGCCGGCCGACGGAGGCCGGACCGCGCGTCCAAAGTGGCAACAACTTCGACATCGCAAATCGAGGACTGCTGGGAGGATAGAGGGTGGAGGAGGGGTTGGTAACGAGTTGGCCAAGTGGCCGACTTGTTTACCCTGCCACCACTAACAAACATACAAAACAAAAAACAGAAAAAGCCATAAAAACACAAAACAAAGTCAGAAGGAGAGAGAGGGAAAAAGTTATGTGAAAAAGGTGGGAAAATGCAAGCATTGTTAGCCTTTTGGCCAGGCTAAAAGGTAACGAAGCATGCAGCCACTGACGGACGGAAAGGCGGACAAGCGGACTGGCGGACTGGCGGACGGACAGGCGGACAAACGGACGGACATCGCGCAGGAAGCGCAAGGAGCATAGCACAGCTCCTGGCAGGCCGCACATTTCAATAATTATTAACTGCAACATGCTACATGCAACATGGCCACATGCAACGTCCAGCCAGCAACGTGCAACGTGCCGCACAGTAGCAACACACACATACACTCGTACTAAGATAGCAACTAAGGGACCTGCAATTATCAAAACTTGTCCAAATTGACATTTTTTGCCGGCCAGGTGTACACACACACATATAGGGAGGGCTTGGGGTAAGGGTGGTCAGAGGGGGTGTTAGCCCGTTGGCCATTGTATTTTGGCACGTTGCGGATTTTGAAATGCAAACACGGCATTTAATTCTATTAGAGCCGCTATTTAATTATCTCCCGCGGCTCCATGAATGCCGAAAACGCAGCGTTCAGTGTCAGTCCAGCAGGAAGAGAGTTCCTCTGGCCTAAACCACACCTCCTCCACCTCCTCAAGTGATGGCCATAATCCGTTCAATCCCCATAGTCGGTAGCTGGCCTATCTTGGCTTATCGGCAAGTGCCAAAAGTGCTGCCCACCCAGAAAGTGAAGATCGTGGATCTGGGAGATGGGATAGCAGATCGTACACTGAGGAGGTAAATCTGAGACTTTTAGGTTTTGATTTATTATTCGGGATATCTATATTTATTTTTGAGAATATTTAATAAAAGCTATCTAAGAGTATTTATTATGCCTAGGCCCTAAAAATATTACAAAAGTCTATCCAGTCTTTGTGATTTCTTCCTGTGCATTACCGCAAAGTAGCTGCCCACTTGTTGCGCCTGTGCCAATATTTAGCTACCGATTTGCACAAGATTATCAATTGAATATAAATAATAAGTGGGAGCCAGCTCCAACAGATCGAGCTGGGGCATCTGGGTGGCTCAACTTGGCTGATGCCCTGATGCCTGGCAATTTTTCGCCTCAATTCGTCGGCAACAATGTATGTAATTTGAGTGGCCCGACTTGGCAAAGTATTACACAAAAAAAAAACAAAAAGAGACCCGCGCTGATCAGACCCTGGTCCGCCTCTACTTGTCCCCTGTCCCCAGTCCCCTTGGATACCCTTGTTCACGTGTGTAATTGGATTTTAAGAAGTAGCTGCTCGAGACAAGACTGATTGATAACCTCGCATCAAAAGGTCCCAAACAACAGGCTGGAATAAACGCCTTCAGTGGCTCTGGGGGCTTTGATGTTCGCGTTCGGCACTGACTATCTCAAGCAAGGAGATCACAACGACTAGCAGATGCCCTATTTTCAAAAGATATATTTTATACAAGAAGCAAGTGCCATTTAAAGTGTATCCAAGATCGTGTTCTACCCCAGACTTGTCGATCTGATAGGGCCGATAGGGAAAAGGGGATAGGGAGCCTGGCCAACGAGGCGTCCAAGCCTAACCGAGGCCCAGATCCCACTGCTCCCCACTCCTGCGTGCGTGTTTGTTGGCCAATTGAATTGCCATGTTTAATATTAATTGCCAACAGTGAGCAGAAGCGAAAAAGAGAGAACCGAAAGCTGGTCGGAGCTCTTAGCCGAGGCGTAATCATGGGACAGTGAATCAATCATTTCCACACGCGGCCCCCAGGTTTTCCCGGCCCACCCACAGCCCCGCCTCACGCTGAATAAATTTCCACCTAAAAGTAGGTACATATGCTAGGGTATTAGAGTAACCGACACCATTAGTTAGAGTTCTAGAGTGTGTTAGTAGACCTGCTGGATACTCTACTTAGCTACCGATTCTGCGCAAACTTAAGAGTGTAAAATGTAACGAAATAAAAGTGGAAATTTTCTTACCCATGTCTGTTGATATGCCGCCGTATTGTGTTAAATCAGATCTTATCTTACCTGAAAATGCAAGCGAAAACAGAGAGGAGAAAACGTTTAAAAAATGTTGAATCAAAATTGTAAGCTCTCCGAAGAGATCTGTGGGATGCAGATGGGGATTCTGGGAAGGGGATATTTAAAGGAAGAGGAGGTCTAAGAAGCTTTGTTGTTTTCGAAAATATTTAAAATTAAATTCCCAAAAAGTCAAAAACCTAGTCCTCACTAGTCTGGCACTACAAGTGACTCTCAATAGCCATAGCCATCAATCCCGTTCAGGCTGACTCACGGCTAGGGCCATTATCTTTCAGTTTCGATCGGGTTTGCTGGATGTCTCGCCTTCTGCCGCGATATTTAGCGTCGCCGCAGCTTTGTTTATGCCATGAAAGTGCAAAATGTAAACAATCCGAAATGCCAACGCCTCGAAAGGCAGGCAGGTTGAGGGCAGGTTGCCGTAGAAAAGGTAAAAGTATAAAAATATGATTTAATGGCAGCGATAAAACACGTGTGTATTTAAATATGCGCGCCAGGCGCCTGAGTAAACGTAATTTCCAGCTTACACACAGTGGCCAAAAAAACAAGAGAGAGACAACCCACCAGACAAAAAGAAACAACAAAGATGGTTTTAAATTAAAAAAATTACAAAAAAAGAAAACTGCCAAAAAAAAACTAGCTAACCCCCTCTGATTTTTTTTTATTCTTTGGCATTTGCAGTGGCAGCCGCAATGAAAATTATGAAAGAAAGGCTAGCTATCTGGGAAGCTGGAAAGGGGGCCAGGCACTTTAGACAAATTCAAACAAATGGCTGGCTGTGGGGGGATGCTGTTTACATGCGACGCGACTTGTAAAAATTAAACATTTAGTTTGCGGTTGCCCCGCGGACTCCCCTTATCGTGCAACTGGCATTTTCACACCTTTTTCCAGCGCGGGGTCGAGGGGCAATAAAATGATTTTTATGACTCTTTAAGGCGGCGCACGCACCATTTGTGGGAGGATTAGCCGCCAGTCGCATAAATGAGAGATTCTCCTCTGGAGGGCAGGGGGAATTCTTCTCAAGAGAGAGAAAGAGTGAGAGCCGGCTGCAGCTTGCGGCGTCTTCGGCCTTTTATTGCCCCATCAAAGGGGCTGATATAAATCTTAATTGCCGACCCAAATAAATAGACGCCGAGCATGTGGCATTCGAGACTTTGAGTAGAAATGCAACTGGAACATCTCTCGAATATGGCCAAGGCTTTACTTTCCAGGGGAAAACTCGTTAGCCAGTCCGGCCGGCTATTTAGCATAAACACTTTCCCACTTTTGACCACAAAACTGATAACAACAACTTGAACAAGTTGCCGGGCGAAAGAAGTCATTAAGGAAACATTAAATTGACATTAATGTGGCCCGAATGGGAGGAGCCAAGGGCACTAGAAGCAGGACATTCTGGCCACCTAGAAACGTCCATTGCAGGGCGTATATAAATCAAAATAGTATTCTATAAATTATAGTTTGTAGGCAAATGTTTGGAGAATTCGGCGAACAAATCGATGACCCAACAATGAAAAAAATACCATTGGCCTTTTGGTATAACAGTTACCCACATTTTGGCCAGGCCAGGCAGATGGCCGTAAATCACAGAGAGTTGGCAAACAGGAATTCTTTTTATTATTTCCCCAACGAATATTAAATGCCCTTTTAAACTGAGAATATCTTTAAACTATTACACTGCTAGAAATAGCTTTAAAAACTAGTCTTAGAGTTCTTTTGAAAAAGATCTTGAAACATAATTTTTCATTGTGTAACTCTAGCCACCTGAAGTCTGGCAATTGTGAACCCATAAATCTTTGTCTTTTTAGTCTTTGAGATTCGTATCTTAATTGAAGCTCATTATAATATGCGTTTCCTATGCGTTGGCTTTTGGTAGCCAACTTGGCTTACACAATCCCCAAACGAGATCGTGGGCAGCTTTCGCACTTGGATTTGGATTTTGGAACTCCAATCCGACACACCGGAGAACCTAAACCTCCGCACGGCCGCCGAGGCAGCGATCGAGGGCTGTCTGGGATCAGATCAGATCGCAATCAGACCAAATCCCGGCAAGAGGCCACCACCAATGAATTATTAATAATAAATAAATCATTATTAAAATCAAAATAATACGCAAATATGCATATTATCAGAAACAACATGGAACTGGCTATACATGTGTGTGGCTGTGTTTCTTTTCATGTTTACGCCACTTTCACACACACAAGTGGTTATAATGAATGATTTGTTGTTTTATAATAAACACGGCCGGGCCACGTTGTTGGCGTCTTGGTCTTGGTCTTTCGGATGACGTAGCCAGCAAAGGGTTATCGCGGGGCAGAGGGGCACCCTTTTGGTCACTAACGTCTGCCGTATGTTCTCATACTCCCCCATATTCACGACCCTTGTCCTGGCCACGGCATGGCTGCATTTCTCCCTCACTCCCTCTCTGTCACTCATACTTCCCGTCTCTTTTGCTCCCTGGACGTGTGTGTGTGCCCTGTTGGCCCGGTCGTGTTGTTGTTTTTATTAGGTATCAAAAACACCTTAAAACATGATTTTGCAACCGCCGCGAGAAGACGTCCGCTGCACAGTGGAACTAGCCTGGCCAAGCCACAATAATTGCCAGTTCACATGACATTTGTATGTTCCAGAGATGATCGATTACTCGAAAAACAACCAATGTCGGAACGCGGAAGAAAAATATGGTGTACACTATATACTCCATTAATTATTCCTTATCGGCCATCACTATCGCTTTTTATAAATCACACAGAGAATGCAAAATAAATCACATAATCAACTTAGCATGAAATTACAAAATGTTAAATATTTTTTATTTTCTAAATAGATTATATAGATTTTTTATGTATATTCCCATTGTTACCATGTGCTCCTCAAAAAAATGATACAAGAGGAGACCCAAAAATTGCTCCTCGCCCTGCAGCAGCTCCTCGATGTTGCATGTTGCCTGGGCCATGTGTCTGGGCCACTTTGTGTTGTCGTCGTCGTTGTCGATGTCGACGTCTTGCAACATTGGTCTCCGGGCCGGCAAACCGAGGAGTCCAACGACTTGAGGACCGCCAAGGTGCTTATTAAATTCCTTATTTAAAAATACATTAAAAAAATGCAAGAAGCTGCCCCAGAACCCGAAAACCAATCCCCGAAAAAGTGAATCGACTGGGCCGTGGCAGGGGCAGGAGGCGATCACAAGGGGATATCCCTAGCATCCGCCACAAAATAAAATATAAAAAGATATATACGAGTATATGTGTGGTTGAGGCGCTTTGATTTGTTTCTGATTTTGCATTCTGGGGGCTCCACGGCAGTGTGGCGAAAAAATGATTAAAAGCGCGCGTTGAAATGCCTTCCTGTGAGTGCGTTCCGCACTCGCCATTTACATAATCATCTGGGGCAGCATCTGGGTCGGTTGCATTTCCTCTGGGCTTTATTTTTGGGTGGGATGCGGTTGCACTCTGCATGATGGGCATTTGAACTCGGAATAGGCCGAGTATTGCAGCAGCCCATTAACCTTGAGAAGGACTAACGTGCCTCTGGTCCCTATACGTGATGACCATAATGGCAGGTAAAGTCACTGAACAAGGCATTGCGATAATTGCGTCACAGCGTGAGAGTCCTTTTTTTTTGGGAACTGCGGCAAATATGAATTATGATTGCTCGAAACGTGTCAATTGTCAGTACATTTCAAGGTCACTGTGTAACAAAAAAAAAGAGCCCAACCTCAGGAGGGACTCATTTTTTCCCAGTGCACCTCAGGGCCAAAAATTAGGCATCGAACAAATTTCGGACAAGCTATAAACCACTTGGCCATGCCGACCTGAACCTCACACACACTTTGCTCTGTGGCTCAAATAAAGCAAATTTACGAATTTATGTTGAAATTTATCGATAATGACTTAAAAGCCTTCAGGACAATGATTTAATGCTCCTCGCTCGCCGTGTTCGCACATACAAAAACCCAAAAAAAAACATAGCAACGCCAACACCATCAAACTTGCCACAAAAGCCCCTCCATGTGGGTTTTTCAAATGCAAAGCCATGTTTTAGATACGAAAAATTGAATTCGGTTTGCATTTCGGGCTGAGGTCCATGGTTGGCGGATCAGCGGCAAATGATCGATGATCGCTGGAAGTGTGCGCCGATTTATTTATGACTTGATTTTGCGTTGCCTTTGCATTTGTTAGATTTAATCAGTTCTCAGATAGCTCACAGCGAATCGCTTCAAATTAAATTATTTTCGCATTATATGGTTTGATTTTGGACTTGGAATAAATCAAAACAGCGATAGCAGTCGACAAATGGCAATCATGTTGATTTTATTTTACGATAACCATCAATGAAATTGTATTAAAAATTAAATATATTTTTTCTAAAACTTCCCCTCTTAATATAAAACTCAACACACATTAGGCCCGAATATCGTAACTGACAGGCCGTCTCGTTTTCTTATAAGAAACCCATTAAAAAGGTAAGATCATCCCCAGGTAAGAACCATTAGAAGTTCTTAGGAGAAGACGTTGGAAATTTTATATCTTTGAGAGTTTGTTAAGAAAGACTGCCAATTGAGACACCCTGTATGGAGGGTTTTTGGGAAACGGTTTCGGCCCGGCCAATTCATCACCGACACTTCAAACTGGGCTGGAACGGCGCATAAATTTCATTACGCTGATCATCTCGCCGAGTCGATTGATTGGAGGGGAAAACCTGTCGTAAGGGTCCTGAATTTAGTTCAACTTTAATTGTTTTTTGAGCAGCTCTTCGAGATGGCTTTAAGTGAAATTTGATTGATTTTTCAAGGCAATTTATAAAATATAATATTTATTATAATAAAATATGGATTAAATTATTAAGTTTTCGTTTTTTCTGTGTAAAGCTGTGCGCAATTTATGTTCGATCTTCGAGCACCTAGACCTCCTTCTGCTGACCTACTCTTGGCATTGTTCTTGGCCCAAACGGGCCAAATCTGAGACTCAAGCCCTTCGCCTCGCTCGGCTGGAAACCAACCCGTAGGATAAAAAGCGAGGGCGAGGTGCTGAACATAATTACATAATGGCGTAGTTAACCGTAATAAGCGCGACTCCTGCGCTCAGTGTGTGTCCTGAAAGGATTCTTCGACTCCTTCTATCCTTGCCGCCCTTTTCTTGCCACTGTTTTGTTGTGTGTGTGTGTTTTTTTTGTGTTTCTGCTATGTTGCCGCATGCCATAATTCACGCTCCTCGTTCGGGCTTGCTCTTTACTCCGCTGCACAAATTGCAGCTCACTTGGGCAGCTCAGCCAGAGCTGCCGTCGTTGCAACGTGCAACAATTACCGCCGAGCATCATTAAAAGCAAAGGTGACAAAAATTAGTAAACAAAGTGTTGAAAATTATGAGGCAGCCATAGCGCTGCAAGGTGTCGTCGAGGCACAGAGAACAGAGAAACAGGGAAGTCGGTATACGAGATTCGAGACTCCAGCAGGTGGAATCGAGTTTTCTGGCCACCATGCCCCATCGTGGCTCTTGTTTATGGGTTCGGTTCTCTGAGCTTGCTTAGAGCGATTAAATCGCTTAAATTGGCGGCCAGCTAATAAACTATCCACAGATTGCCAACTAGACTACCGGACTTTAAATAGATTAAGTGGAAAACAATTTTCAAATCAATCAGAAGCTTAATTAAAATAATTTCCAATTTTTAAGATTTCATTTCAATAAGAACCCTTAAATAAACCTGGCCTAGGGCTGTTTTGGAAATGAAATTGATATGATTATGATCCATCATTTATAACTCATTATTTACCCTTTCTGTTTATTCGAAAAAAGACAACAATTACTCACAAAATAAATTTCTGTTCCATTTAAGGTAAAAAATAACAAAATACCAACTAAGAAAACAAGAAAGCTTCGGTGGTGGACTAGGGAGGGTTACGGGGAATAAAGGTTCTTAAGTGGACTCTTGTGCGAAAGTGGACACTCACTTTTGGCCGGATCTTCCGGACACTCACCTGCGATAGCCATCCAGGGGTAGAATGTGTGATTGCTGGCCTGGTGTAAACTGCTGGCGGCTGCCGTTTGGGCTGCAGCGGCGCCCGAGATGGTGCAGTTGGCGTTCCAGGCGGTGCCCGCTCCGGCCACACCCACGCCGCTCTGTACGCCACCGTTGCCGCCGCCTCCGGCTCCGCCGCTGACGCTGACATTGCCGCCGGCGCTGCCGCCGCGATGGCTAACGGGACTGCCGCCCGACGTGTCCAAGTAGCCGCCCACTCGGGAATCGGGGGTGCAGGCGGAGGGACGAACGGGCATACCGCCCGCCGGATTATTCTGTCCATTGGCATTTGCTGTGTTACCACCGTTGGCGCCATTTCCTGCGGCACCAGCGCCACCACCGCCGCCGCCTCCGCCTCCTCCGCCCCCGCCGCCATTGGAGCCGCCCGTGTTCCAGATGTCCTTGTAGCCGTTCACCGTGTCCGCCTTGATGTTTAGGCAGTCCTGCTTGTAGCCGGCTCCGTCGCCGTAGATCTTGTTGCAGGCAGCCGTGATGCTGGCGTCGTAGGGCGAGTCCTGGGTGGTGCGCTGCAGATGGTGGTTGGCGTACGGGGACATGCCCAGCGAGAGGGGGAAGCCTCGGTAGGCTGCCGCCGCCGCACTGGCCGACTGATCGTGGTGTCCGCCACTGCCCATCGCCATTCCGGTGGCCTGGTGCGGATGGCCGTAGAAGCCGGAGGCCTGTTCGAAGTACGAGTTCATAGCGCTGTTGGCGGTGAGAATTTTGGCGGTGCTCCGTCAGAGACGGATCCTTGCGGCTCTAAAGGATACTACTCAGGTGAGTACTTGATCTTTGATGATCTTCGATTTATTTTTTAATATTTGTTTTATGAGGATTTTTTTATAATTTTTTTTATGGACATTTGCTTTGGATGAAGTAGAGAATTAATAAACTTTTAAAATGTTTTTTATTTTTTATTTATTGAATTTTGGTTGTATATTTTTTTTTATATTTATTAAAAGTATATTTTGTATATTTTAAATGTTAATATTACGTATTGCACTTTCCACTGGGGCCTCTTGGTATTTATTTTTTATTTAGCACTTTGTTCACAAATGTTTGCAGTTTGTTCTTAAATCTTAAATTAATTTTCTCACAATTGTTTCTTTAGTTTCACCAGTGATATTCGTATACTTAGTTGCGTTTTGGTTTGGATTAACTTTTGAGTTTTTATTTTTTTGTTTATTATATTTTTTTTAGCCAATTGCACTCGGATCGGATGTTAATTGAATTCGAATTTGAATTTGAATTCCTGGTTGCTCTGCCGTGGCACTATCGAGGGCTCGTAAGCGTTACGATTATTACTATGTTTATTGTTATTGCGATTATTATTATTATTTTTATGATTTTTACGATTATTAGCAGTAGTAGTAGCACTACTGACCGAAGGGGCGCGCGTCTGCCTGACGGATTGCCCTCGAATCCCAAAATTCAAATCGAGACTGGTGTGAAAAGCGGCTTTTCCGCGCGGCATTTACGGGCGGACGCGTGGGCGATACTGCGATATTGCGACGATATAGCGCACAGGGCCAATAATAACAATAATGCCGCTGATAATGTGGATAATAAAACAAAGCGCGCGCCTGTTATCCAAACCGTTGCCATCGAACGAATGTTTCCACCAAATCGCAGTGGCCAGTGTTTTGACTTTGCCAGCGTAGTTTCGCTCCGCAGTCCGCAGTCCCGACCCACTCAAGACTCACATTCGAATCCACTCAAGCCGAAATGAGCGCAAAACCCGAGAGAGACCCTGTGCCTGGCAGTGATAAGAGCAGCCAGAAACCAGTCCCCGGATGAACGTCTGCTCGAATGTGTTCATTCTTCTGCCAATGAGTGTGCCGTTTGAGTGCTCTGCTGCTCTCTCTTCTCGGGCTCTGGGGGTGGGCGACTCTCGTTCATCATTCGCGCGTACGGAAAATGCGCTCGGCTCCGGGAAATTCATCATGGGGGAGGGCTGATTTTCCTATCGGCCAACTCACTCAACTGAGTGGCGAACCGCTCTGGGCCGTTTGAGCCGCCAGTTGCCAGTTTCTCGCCAAGCACTGCACATCTCGTTGCGAGGTCTGCTTGAGCGCATTGGCCGCCTGCATTTTTTCAGTTTATTTCCATTGGCAGTCGCGAAATTTTCGATTTTTTTCGATTGCATTTAGCTTAATTTTGGAAGTAGAAGTTTTTTCTTTTTGAAATATATTTATTATTTTACGAGACATTTAATAGCTCAATATAAATTACTTCTTAGCCATCAAAAACATTCGTAATTTATAATTATTTCAATATATTTTACTATTTGTCATTCGTGTACTGCCGTTAATAAATAATAAAATGAAAAAGGTTTCGCTGACTCAGTTTTTCTGCAAACTTAAAAGGGAGCCTATTTTATACATTACTATTAACTATTAATTATTTTCTTAAAAGGGAAAACAACGTACATATTTTATTTTTAAAATATGTATGCTCTTGAACATTTATTTAACTCTAACTTTCAATGTAAATTAATTTCAAAGAGACGCAACTTCTATTGGGCTAAATAAAATCACTACTGCAACGTGTATTTTTATTATAAGTTTGTTAAAAATATTTGAATTTAAATAATAACAATTTTAAATAAATTATCAAAGTATTCCTCCGCCCACTTTTAAAAATGGAAAATCGATTTGAAGCCAACACTGCGTATGAGTGATAAACTTTCAAGCTTTTTGTTGACTCCCCATAGACAAACTTTTCAAGGGCCAACAAATATAATACATAGTTTTTATAACCAAAAGGTTTTCTTATCCTAATATAATACATTTTCATATTAAAATTCACTGTAGTCAGGAAAGAAAAAGGTTACAAGCTCTGGACCCAAAAAATATGCTACAATTGTTTTAAATTTCATAATTTATGTTTGAATACAAATGTATCCATTCTATTCTCCTCATTCTCTTGCGGAAATACTGTGTTCTGCGGTTTTCCTGTTCAAATGCAAGCCTCGAATGCAAAACCAAATGCTCAATCCTTTCGCCAATACTTTCAATGGGATATTAATGTCAATGTAAATATGGCATCGAATTGATGCTAATAAATTCATATGCATAATGCAAATAGATCGGGTTCTTGCAGCGGCACAACGCCGAGCCATTCGCGAAACTTTTGCAAATATTTGTCAAAGTTTCCACATTCGCACAAACGGCTCGTAGATTAAGCCAGAAACCGACGACGAACAAACAAAGTTGCTTGCCACAAGTGTTTGCAAAATAAACTTATTATAAGAAGAAATTTACTTTTCTCCAACTCCAAAGGATTTTCCTTTTTTCCACCCCCGGTGCCAAGTCTGTAAAATCAACAACAAGCCAAATATATACAAAAAACTTGCACAAAGCGCACACAGAAACAAACAGACAGACACATTCGAATCGGAGTCGCGGCGACATTTTCCAAATATGCGGCCCAAAAACCCAAGGAAAAGCGAGGAGACCAAAGCAAAGCCAAAGTAAAAATCGCAGTCGCAACTGCAAACTAAATATCGTGAGTCGGGAACAGGACACAAGGACTGAGGACCAAGAACTCAGGGCTCAGTGCTCAGTGCTCAGGACTCCCCAGAAACCCAAGGGAAAATACGGATGCGAATGCGAATGTCGAGAGAGGGTGCGGGGGAGTGACGGGAATGACACAGAAATAGCCTCATAACCATTTGAAGCCATTCGAAGGCGCATAAAAGGATCACAACAATCGCCGAAATGAGCCATAATGAGCTCGTAAAAATTTTGCTACCTAATATACTCGGGAATCTTACGAGTACGAGTATATTCAAACTTGCTACATTATGGGGTATGCAATGTGCCAGTCCTGTCTCGTTCTTGTACCAGTTCCAGCTCCTGCTCCTGTCCCTGTTCCTGCTCCTTCTGCCCCGTTGGATTCTTGCTCCTGTAGGAGCTCCGCTCGGTTGGCGAAAAGTTGCGAGACTGGATTTTGTTTTTGTTCAGCATCGATGATTGTTTTTCCTCAGCTGTGCATTTTTGAACGGAAGGAAAACCAGGATGTGGTTGGACTGACAATTCAATTAATGATTGATTTCGGGTTTGGTTGTACGCTTTTCAGTATTTCGTTTTTAAGAAGTATTTCAAGAAAATGCTAAGTTGTTTTAATAGCGTTAAGTTTAAAGTCACATTCTAAAAAAAATTTATACATTCTTAATACAGTTCTTGATGCAAAATTTCTGCATGTCCGATGTGTATAACTTCTCGAAATTTGACCTGATTTCTGAAAACGTATGGAAATGCCACTACGAGCCCCGACAAATGTTATATCTTTCCCAGTTTTCATCCGATTCTTAAGCGGAATATCTTAAATAATTTGTATTTCGATTCTCCACAAATCTGCATCAAAATCTAGAAACAAATTATTTTTTAAATTTTTTGTACAATTTTCTAGGGGGTCCCCTTCAAAATTCTGAAAAAGTATGGGAATGCCACAACGAGCCCCTACGAATGTTATATCTTTCCCAGTTTTCATCCGATTCTTAAGCGGAATACCTTAAATGATTTGTATTTCGATTCTTTTCGATATTCTTTTGATATTTTTTGAGGTCCCCTGCAAAATTAAGGACAGCCTCTTTCGAAATGGAACCCAGAAGAGCAACAAGTATGAAAATAGTTGCAAGCACAAATTTGGAGTAACTATTTTTATTTATATATTTTTTGTTGAATTTAAAACCATTTCTTTTATTTTTTCAATAGACAAACACTTTCAACAATGGACGTCTCCTTGCGCCCACACATCTGGACGGGAATGCTTCGATTGTCTTCGTATAAAGTCCCATTGAGATTGTGCGATTCCCGATTCGCAATTCGATTCCCAGGAATTTGCATACAAAGCGATCTCATTTTCATACCACCCCCACCCCTGTCCCGGTCGCCCTGTCAACGGTAGCTTGTTGCAGCAATTTACGAGAGCTTCCGTTCTGCGAAAACCCATGGGGGAAAATAGTAAGGAAAGCTCACACCTGCCCAGAGAGTGCCCAGTGGATATGGACAATGCTAAATGTGGCCAATTAGCCCCGAGGCAGCCGAAACCAAATCAGACTCCGACTCCAACTCCTCCCCGTTCACAGGTAGACTTGATGGATGGGTCGTATTTGCCTTCCAGAACTGGTTCAGAGCAATTAGACAAGCGATTTAATTGCCACCTCAGCAGTTACCCACCCCCTGGCGGCAGCTCCCGCTGCTTTATTGGCCACAATCGCTCAAATCGAGCCAGGGCATCCGCGAGATAGAAAGATAGGTGCTACCAATCTAATCATAGATACAGATACTGAAATCGTGGGGAGCCACTTACGCAGCTAATAAAGCAGCAATTTGGCAGCTGGAAGCGCCGGCGCTGACGCCAGTCCCGAAACATCAAAAGACTAGTACCAGATCGCAGTACCAGATACCGCCCACTACCCACTACTCCACCCAATTCCCCTCCTCCAGCCAAGATCAAAGTTGTGTGGCCCAGAGGTTTATTTACACAGAAATGTTCAACAAAATACTCATCGGTGCTGGGGTGCCTGCCTGCAGTGGCCGTTTTTTTACGTATTGTCTATAAAGATTTTGGCTCTTTCTTTCGGCGTTTTTCAGCCTGATGCTGCAAGGCACCTGTTGGATGAGGCACTGAGAGAAAATGTGTATATACAAATGAAAGGTATATCAAGAAAAATTCTTTAATTTAGTAAGAAACTAAGGAAAGGTTTGTAATGCATACCATTTAATAAGATGTTCTTTCTTCAATTATAGATACAAGTTTATATAATTATCTCATAGCAAGTAGATTTTTTCCTCTGTTTATATATTTTTGTTGTTATGTAGGGCGCTTTTATCGCCCTCCTTCA